AGAAATGTTGTTAGAACATGAGCGGTTTCTTAAAGAGCTTGAGATCAGAAGAGCTTCAGTTAATGTAAAGCCTGAATTGGACTTTGATGTTGTCAAAAACATTAGATTAGTTCCTCCCTTTGTAGAAAAGGATGTTGAAAAGTATTTCCCACATTTCGAAAGGGTTGCGACTATCTCTAAATGGCCTAAACATTGTTGGTCATTACTGTTACAAAGTGTTTTAGTCGGTAAAGCCCAAGTAGTCTACTCTGCTCTATCGCTTGCAGACAGTGGAGAGTATGACATTGTGAAAAATGCTATTTTGAAGGCATATGCATTGTAAAGGAGGTATAAATATTCATATAGATTGAATTATTCCTTTATAAATGTGTTTTTTGTAGCCTACCCCACGCCTAAAAGATATATGTCTATCATATAAATGTCCGTGGACCCAGAAATGTAAGTGTCAGAAGAAGTACTCTCTCAAAAAGATGATATTTCATAGCAGGGTCTCCTTTTCTTGGAAATTCATGACATTCATGACATTTTCAAGGATTTTCATGACAAACTCCCATCTTTTGCTTAGGATATCTCAGGGGCAAAAGCTGGTAGAAACGGAAGGTTTCCACCATCTGAAAGTTCAAAGCCGGTAGAAACGGAAGGTTTCCACCATCTGAAAGTTCAAAGCCTCACCTTTCAAACGCGTTATAGCATGTGATTATGACAGTAACACAGAATATGCTGTAGCTTTGCAAATATCAGGAAAAAATGAGATAGTGGCTGGCATTCTAGACCCAAGCTGTTGAAACAAGGCTGGACTCAATGAGATAATATAAACTAAATCTAGATGATTTCTTATTATTAACAATAAATGGATAGGCCTGGGGCCTGCCTGGCAGACTGTGCAGTCTACCATAGACTGTTGTGAGTACTTCAGAACTTACCATGACACAAAGCAATGAGAAATAATTTAGCATGTCTTGTTCACTACACTCATGTTATAATTACAAAAACTACCTATCAAAGTGTATTAATCCTACTAAATCTAATCTTTCGTTTGGGCCTCTGTGTTTATATAGTCTAGATTAAAGATCAGGGGCCGTATGCCTAAAGATTCTCAGAGTCCTCTCAGAGAGCTCCTAACTTAAAGCTGCAACTTATCTGCTGCAAGGGCCCTCGTATCTGGCATGAGCTCGACGAGGACATCAAGCAGTCTCTGTCATTAGCCATGTTTAAAAGAAATATCAGACGGTGGCTCTTAGGACGCTACTGTTCTGCCTGACTAAAACGGTAGCCTCTCTTGGGCTCCACTGATCTCCTTGTACTAAGGGAAGGGAAAGCACACATAAACGGTAAATAGAAAACAATAGTGGTGATAACACCTTATAAAATAAAAATAAATTTACAAAACAGTATTAACTATGAATATACCATTGAATTTCATAGAAACAACGATACCATGTATGACACAAACACGATCTCTGAAGGTGGGCGTGGGTGTGTGTGTGTGAGCGTGTGTGTATATATGTATTTTTTTTTTTCATTTCTCTCCTAATTTTCCTATCTCAAATTTAACAAATCTCTGTTTCATGCCATCTGTTTTTGTTTGACTTTGTATTTTTGGACCCCGTACATAAGCTTGTGTAGCTTCCTAGGGTGTCCATTTCTTTTTCCCAGTGTCACAAAATTAGTTACAAACTCAATGTATGAACAAATGTGTGATATTGTGAAGAAGAATAAACTGAAACTGAAACTGAAAAAACTGACTTTGGGATTTTGAAGCCGTGGACTCTCTGGCCTCTCTCTTTCCGCTCCCCTCCCCGCACCCACGAAGCCATCGCCCCCCACACACACCCACTGTTGGGACGAAGCTAGCGTCTCCCAATATGGATATTACATTGATATGGATTTTCACGTGGATGGCGTGACCATAGAACGATAGAACCGGGAAGCGCGGAGGAACGAGACTTTCTTTTGGATGACTGTCTCGCTGTGTAAGCAGTAACCGATGACGAAGACACACGAAGCTTCAGGTTAGCTCTGCCGCTTGTTGTGCTAACTCAGCCGTCTATGCTAACGGACCTGTAGATTTCTCACGAAAGTGGGGGCCAGTGGTCCGCGGTGATTGGTTACAATCCGCGACCCGAAACACATTCTCTTCCTTGTTTCATCAAAACTCGATCTAAAATATAATGTCACGCCAGCACAAATCTGCGCTACTTTTTCTTCAAAATGATGTATATCCCAATGCCCTACACGGACATGGATAGCACTTTTGTAATGAATACAAAAATAAAGTCAGTTAGTGCAGCTTTAACCTAAAAACTCATTGCTAGGAGTCTTAGCTTAAAAGTTATTCCAGAATACTCTTAGAGAACTCTGAGCAAGGAATGGACTACAACTTTTATCTTAGTGAGGAGGCGTGGCCGACCCCGTCGCTAGGTATGAGTCATCATTTCAGACGCTGTGATTGGTTGATCCTAAAAGTTAGAGAAATATATTTTTGATGATAATGGGCAAAGTAAGGGCCCTAAAATGGACAAACTCAATCATGGAATCTAATCTTAGAAAGACTGTGTCATTGTGAATAATAGTCAGAAAGGTAGAAAGTCAGAAATATCAATGTTAAATTAATATTGTGAACAGTAAGTTAGACTTTTACACCACATCATGAGAGTTCGCTCAGCACCAATTTATCACACGTATATAACATGAGCACATATTATATGGATAAATGATGATAATGATAACGTTAGGATTAGTAAAGACTGATACTGAAAGAAATATAAGGAATTAAGGAAACAATATAAATATATTAGACATACACTGTACAAGTCAAGGTCATGTTATTGTGAATGTTACTGTTGCAAAACTGTAAATATACCACAGAATAAACTGAGCTGTGCAACCACATCATTTAAGTTCATTTAGAATGATGAGAGTGGGAGTTTAACAGTCTTAACTTGTTTCCACTCTTTTTTGAGCTGGATTATTGTTAATAAAACAAAACTGTATATTTGTACTTTTTCTATTCTCCTGTTGTTTTGTTTGTTGTTGTCCATTTTTCTTGTGTGCCATGGCTCGAAATAAAGTATTTTTTTCATTTGTACTGAATGTGCGTTATTAATAATAGTTATATTTATATTTTGCTTTTATTAATTACCATGCTGGTCATTTCTCTTTCAACTTTTACCATTTCTACTCACTTTCGTGTAACAAAGGTAAAATGGATGAGTTGTTATTGCTGACCAGCCAATGAGAAGCTGGTCACATGATTGACTTTTAAATATACCACAAACATGATTCCTGCACGACTCAATCTGCAGTGTTTCACTGATTCACTGTCGTCCAGTGAATAGAATTCCTCTCCTGCTCCCATCTCTGTGTGGAGTGAGAGGACAAGTGCCCAAAAAAAAAATAACAATTGTAAACCGCTTTGTGACTCTGGTCTGTGAAAGGCGGTATATAAATAAATACTTACTTACTTACTTACTTACTTGCTTCTTCCGTCCACCATTTTTGTCTCTTAGGGAACTTTTAAGTTGCTTAAAGTCCACCTCTCAACTCTTCAGAGATCTCACCTTAGGAACTCTCTTAAGAGCTAGGATTCTTTAGGAATAGCTTTTATCTTAACTAAGATCTGCTCCTCACTTTTAGGGGAAATTCTAAGAGTCGGTCAAGATTCTAAGAAAATTCTTAGAATTTGGCCACTAGGAGCAACTTTTAGCACTACGAATCTTTAGGAATACGGCCCCAGGCTCGTACCTTTTACCGTTCTTGAGCAGTCTGTCTATAATACAATAGTTTTATCCAAAACACTGCTCTCGGACTTCCGGTGGACATGACGGGCTGGAGGACGTGCTCTGCTGAGCTTCCGCTCCCAACCACACTTATTACGCTGTAATACACACGACTACCGATTTTACACTTTTGTAAGCAAGCCAAGTGCTACCTTACAACCTTTTTTTACTTCTTGACATTGATGCGGAGAACTATGTCGAAGCAGACAAAAATCCAGGCAAAAAAGCTCACGGCCGCAGCTGCTAATGCTAAAATTAGCTCCCCCGAGGTCAGTCCATCTCCAGACCAAGCCCGGGACCAGGACGATACGGAGGCTCTGATATTGATAGTTTCTGAGAGCTTCAGCGCGGCCATGGAAGAGAAACTATTTGTATTTTCAGACACACAGGACAAGATTGCCTCCAAACTGGAGGAACATGCCTTAACTGTCATTGTCTGATTTTGAGAAATCAGACAATGTAGGAGGGATGGGGGAGTCCTGCAGCTGGTGAACTGAGAGTCTGCGAGTTTGGAGAGAGAGTCCATCCTTGGCCTTGAGTAGTGGAATGTGGAGTCAGTAGATAAGAGCAGTGCCTGCAGACATGGGAGACAATAACACGTATGCCTTGTGGGAGTTTGTATGAGCACTTTTAGCTGGTCAGATCAAAGGCAGTGTAAACTTAAAAGCCAATTGAGTCAAAATTAAATCATCCCTGGATCCCCTCCGGTAACCGTTATCCAGAGTTGCCCACGTCAGTGCGAGAGTCCCCCATGAGGCCCAAGTTCATTCAGCTTCTTCCCAGTTCATTAAGAGAATATTCGACCTGTATCAGACACTGTTGCACAGGTGACTAGCCTGACTCTCTCCTCTGAGTTTGCTCGTCTTCCTCCGTGGTTCAGCTCTGAGATGAGACCCCTCTCTTCCTCCTTCTGCTGCCCGCGGCCTCCTCACATTTTGGGTTTGCCCTTGATGTTTCCGGCTCTTGGTATTTCGTCAGGTGGATTATTCGGTGGCCAGAAGTTGGCCCTCCAGGACAACGGTTTGGTGGATGGCAGCTGTAAATAATCTCCAGAGTGTAACTGAAAACCTCTTCAATTTCACAATTATCAAGCATTTACATAAAAATGACAATAGAGAATTACTTTATGTAATTTTAATGCAGGAATGATTATATAGTTTCCAAAAAGCACAGCAAATGCAAAATGTATCCAAAAATACAATGGTAATATACTAATAACAGCTAATACAAACTTTCTGGTGCCTCCCAGCCCACTTCCTCCGGGTCTGTGAAGCAGTCTCTGTGAGGGTCTGTGAAGCAGTCTCTGTGAGGGTCTGTGAAGCAGTCTCTGTGAGGGTCTGTGAAGCGGTCTCTGTGAGGGTCTGTGAAGCAGTCTCTGTGAGGGTCTGTGAAGCAGTCTCTGTGAGGGGCTGTGAAGCAGTCTCTGTGAGGGTCTGTGGGGGTCTGTGAAGCAGTCTCTGTGAGGGTCTGTGAAGCGGTCTCTGTGAGGGTCTGTGAAGCAGTCTCTGTGAGGGTCTGTGAAGCAGCAGTTCTCTGAGTAAGACCGTTGTCAATCACTGGCGTTCTCCCTCTGAGTTAACTCTTTCCTTTCTTTTAGCAGACAAAAGCCACAGAGGTGAAGTGTGCGCTTCCTTCCACCCTCTAGTCTTGTCACTGTCCCCATTGCCTGGAGGCACGAGTCCCGAGGCCTCTTGAGACCTGGTTCCCTGAGTGGGACGACCCAGTGCCCACGCCGCCTCGCCTGCTGAGGCAGGGACATTTTTTCACAACCCCTCTCTTCTGAATTGTTCCCCTGAAGTTGTTGGCTGTTCAAACGCCAGGCGATGGAAGGGTTGTTTCCAATCCTGCTCCGTGAAGAGATCTCCTCCAGTCTCTTACAACTGGAGTTTTTATTGCCTTCCAGTAAAATGCACCTGACCAAATATGGCCCTCATCATCTGTCACTATTCCCCTGTGTCACCTCTTTTACGCCCCTGCTTCCTCAGAGAAAGAACTTTCCAGTATGTCGCTCTCTCAGAGTTACATAATCACTGCTTTTGTCATACAGTCTTGTAGTACCAGTGCATTCCCAGTGGGGAGTGCCCTCACAACATTCTCCCTAAGAATTGGGACACCCCTGGATCTAGGGGACAATATGCAAATGACGCAGCAGACGTGTTTCACGTCACACACATGATCAAAGTGTCTGATTTCACCACAGATAAGATCTGACACAGACATGACTTTATGAAACACAGTATTTATTAAAATGAGACGTTTTTAATTCTATTTCATATGAAGATTTACTATAATTAGGTACAGAACTGCTGCACATCACGCACTCAGAGACAGACGCACACACACGCATACGGACACATGTACATACACGTACGCACACAGAGACAAACACATGTATATACACGTACGCACACAGAGACAAACACATGTATATACACGTACGCACACAGATGTACCACACAGAGACAGGCAAGTCAATTGGCAAAAGTCCAAGTGAAAGTCAGAGTCATTGATATTAAAGTCTAAGTCGAGTCTAAAGTCATCAAATTCATGACTGGAGTCTGACCCGAGTCCAAGTCACATGAGTCGAGTCCACACCTCTGGTTAAGACTGAAGTGTGATCCTGTAGAGTCTGACTCTGGGTTCACATGATGCAGCCTCAGCTCTGTCTCCTTCTTCATCACATGTCAGTTTGAATCTTAGACTTGATGCAGCTTTAAAAGGAACCATAAGATCTTCCTTTCAGACAAAAACATGATGTATTCGAGCCTCCAGACACAAAGTAAAGATGTTCAAATCCACAATAAGTGTTTGGTCTGTAAAGCTCAGCAGCTGCAGCACAGGGTTAAGACTGAAGTGTGATCCTGTAGAGTCTGACTCTGGGTTCACATGATGCAGCCTCAGCTCTGTCTCCTTCACTTTGTTCCAGATGCTGCGTCTTCACACCTGCTTCTCACACGTTTTACTGTGTTTACGAAGAGATGAGCTATAAGTATAAGACTTCCCACACTTTTCACAGACAAATGGTCTCTCTCCAGTGTGGATCCTCTGATGATTTTTGAGATGACCACTTTGAGAAAAACTCTGATCACAAACGTCACAGCTGAAGGGTTTTTCTCCAGTGTGGCTCCGATGGTGACGTGTGCGCTCTTCTGTAGTTCTAAAAGTTTTACTGCAGAAGTCACATGCAAATGGTTTTTCCCCAGTGTGAATTCTCTCATGACTTTTGTAGTGTGAAGACTGAGTAAACTCCTTCCCACAGTCTCCACAGACGAATGGTTTCTCTCCTGTGTGGATCCTCTGATGATCTTTCAGAGTATTCTCATGTCTAAAACTCTGACCACAAACGTCACAGCTGAAGGGTTTTTCTCCAGTGTGGATTCTACTGTGGAGCTTGAGACTTCCTGCTTGAGAAAAAAATGTTCCACACTGATCATACTCGTACTGCTTCTCTCCAGTGTGGCTCCGGTGGTGACGTGTGCGCTCTTCTGTAGTTCTAAAAGTTTTACTGCAGAGGTCACATGCAAATGGTTTTTCTCCAGTGTGAATTCTCTCATGACTTTTGTAGTGTGAAGACTGAGTAAACTCCTTCCCACAGTCTCCACAGACGAATGGTTTTTCTCCAGTGTGAATTCTCTCATGTCTTTTGTAGCTTGAAAACCGAGTAAAATCCTTCCCACAGTCTCCACAGACGAATGGTTTCTCTCCCGTATGGATCCTCTGATGTTCTTTCAGAGATTTCTTATGTCTAAAACTCTGACCACAAACGTCACAGCTGAAGGGTTTTTCTCCAGTGTGGATTCTGCTGTGGAGCTTGAGACCTCCTTTTGTAGTAAAACCTGTTCCACACTGATCACACTTGTATGGTTTTTCTCCAGTGTGGATCCTCTGATGATCTTTGAGAGTACCCTCTTGTCTAAAACTCTGATCACAATTGTCGCAGCTGAAGGGTTTTTCGCCAGTGTGGATTCTGTTGTGGACCTTGAGATGTTCTTTTGTAGTAAAACATGTTCCACACTGATCACACTTGTATGGTTTTTCTCCAGTGTGAGTTCTGTGGTGTCTCTTTAGTTCAGAAGCAGAGCTGCAGGTCTTTCCACACTGATCACAGGTGAACCCTGTTCTGTAGATGGACTTTGTAGATCTTCAAAAAAACAAAAAACAAAGACATGTCATTAATATAATAATTACAAAGGTTTCTTCAGCCCAAAATACAAACAATGTGTATTTTTGCAACAGTGACAGGTATTTGGACGAAAAAGATGGACTTTGTAGATCTGCAAACAAAGAGTAAAGTATTGCATTACTGTTTCACTCTATGTCTGCTTGTTGTAACTCTGATGTCTGCTTGTGAATGAATGAATGAATGAATATTTTATTTAAGTGTCATGCACACATGTGCCCAGCCCACATGGGCTTATATGACACTATAAACATAACTTGGAAGACGACCATTTAAACAATATGTTCAATATACAATATACATTTCACAAAAAAAATCAAGAATCTGGATACAAAGCTTTCAATCTCATTGTCCAGGCTTTCTCCACATATCTTGCCAAACAAAAAATTGAATTTCTAAATAACCAACTCAACATATCACCTTCTGCCAACCAAAATAGATCAGGATTACTGCATTCGACTCTTTCAAACAAAGCTGTTCTTAAATCATTATACAATGGACAATAGAACATAAAGTGAAATTCATCCTCCACCACACATAGATCACAAACATTACAAAGTCTGTTCTCTTCAGGTACCCCTCTGTAACGAGGGGCACAACGCTTGTTGTGACTCTATAATGTCTGCTTGTTGTGACTCTGTGATGTCTGCTTGTTGTGAATCTATGATGTCTGTTGTGACTCTGTGATGTCTGCTTGTTGTGAATCTATGATGTCTGTTGTGACTCTGTGATGTCTGCTTGTTGTGAATCTACAGTAGGTCCCATTTCGTTTTGTCGCCTTTCACGCGTGAATCACACGAGACTCACGTGTGATTCACGCGTCTTTTATTTATTTTTTCCCCAGTGATGCTGCAATGACCCAAACAACCACCAGGTGGCACTTGTGAGCAGGGTTAGGAAAATTGGCTTCTCATCGGTCTTTCTTCTCTGTTCACCGGACAACTTTCTGTGGCTTTATAGCTCAATGATAAGGAGGTGGACTCTGGTGCGAGAGGACTCGGGTTCAAGTACAGTCTATGACGCTTTTGATTTTGTTGACGTTTACATTTTTTCTAAAACATACTTAGTAATTAGGCCAACACATTTAAAATAGTTGCTAGACTGTAGTAAACTGTTGTAAACTTCACAATCTGCACCAACCAAACTGCAGGAAAAAAATGCAACTTTATTCAGTAACGGAGTAATCTGATTCATATACTCCCCCCGCTAATAAAAATTGAGGATTGGCCGGGGCTCGAACCCCGACCGCCCAAGCGAAAATCTTGGACAATCCTGCTACGCCACACAGGCGCTTGAGAAAACACTGGATCTAGCTGTCTCAATTGTTCAAAGGCATCCCGATATAAATCCTCGTTTTAGTCTTTGTTTTGTCATTAATGATTTGAGAGTCATAACAAGACCTTTTTTAGTTCTGCGCCACATGTTATTTTACCACTGAGATTAATGAGCCGCGCGAAGTTCTGGCAACCTGATCACGGACTTACATGACACTTCCTGATTGGCGAAACGGCGGAGGGCAGGACATCAAAATCAAAACAATAACAACTTTTACGGGTTGTAAAACTAATTTTGATAATCAAATATCTCGGCTGAACTACTGTTATTAGTTAAAGATGAATTCGAAAAGAGTATGATTTAATAACGCCTTTTGAAATATTCGGGTCATTTAATGATGACTTGACATGCAAATATTACATATTGCTCCTTTTAGCTAGAGATGCGCTGATTATATTCATGGATGAGTCTAATGTAGAGTTCTTAGTTGTTGTGTAAACAGCAGGTTTGTCCTTCGCACACCTCTCTCTCTCTCTCTCTCTCTGTCTCTCTCTCTCTCTCTCTCAGGTGAGTGTAGCGCAGACCGGTGCACGCTTGATAAACATGTAAACTTTAAATACAATTGGAATTCAACTCCACAATCAGCACCAACCAAACTGCAGGATATAAAAATGCCAATTTGTACAACATGCTCATTTTTCTCCTTGACAAAACCATGGACTAAACCCACAACATGGTTAGTGCTAAAAAGTTGAAAACATGTTGCAACGATGACAGCATAGAGGAGGATAACGGTGCGGAGCCCGCCTTTGACGAGGGATTTTCACACAGCACTAAGGGACCACAGGGGACCACGGGGACCACAATCGGAGAGAGTCGCCAACGCTTTGAAAGATCCCGCACAACAAAAAACGTGGAAAATCATCAACAGGGGAAAAGATCAAGTAAGATCTGGATTGACTTTAAGTGACATATATGCACTCTTTCAAATAGATGGAACAGTCTAAGACAAAAGGAAATACTTCTTATTTAGTTCATAGGCCCAGACCTTTATTAAAGTTACTTTTTTCAATATCTGATTATTTATTTACTCTATTCTAGATAATACCTTATTTTTGTATTCATTATGTGCTTAATATATTCTTTTAGTCCTGCTACATAATTTCGGCACTTTTCTTTAAAGAAAAAGGGAAAGAGAAAAAAGAAAAAACCATGCATGGTTCATTGGATGGGACGCTTATAGTTTATTAGTATTAATTATTATTATTACGACTATTATTTCTTTTTCTAACTAAGTTTTTTAT